ACCTGTACCAACAGTCAGATTGTGAGAGTTTATGCCTAAGGAGTCTGGAAATAATTTTAGAGAGAGTTAAAATAAATGACCAAGGTAAGTGAAAGGTTTATAAAGTGGCAATGATAGGCGGTTTCATGAAGCTTAAAGAAGTAATTAAGCAAACAGAATTAAGACATTGTAATGCTATATTTGCCATGTTATTTGCAATATAATCTTTTCATGTGCAAAAATACTGAATTCTTTTACAGTGGAGACCCATCTAAATACAAGCATGTAGCTAACCATTGCTAGGGTAGGAGAAAAACAAGTAGACATAACTGATTTTGATCTTAGTGGTTTCAAATGGGTTTGAGCAAAAGACTAATGAAAAGTAGACATCTAATCTGATCATGGCATTTACGTAAAGAAGTACAGACTAAAGTCGGTAACAATAACCACAATGCAGTAAGATAAAAATTGGTTTCTCCATTTTGAACTACAGTCCGTGTTATCTAAAACCGTCGTGTGTGGGTTCTTATTTCCCACCCTGTGCACAATCCACATTACTCGCTAAGGCTTAAAACTCGGCAGACCAACAGAGGTTGATCATCACCCGTAGACTGGCGCCTACATTCAAGATTCCTTGCAGGCACTGTCAGCCAGTTTCTGTATTGTACAAAGGACAGAAGAATGCAACTTCACTAAGAGGCATCTGAAAGACTGTGTTGGAGGCTCAGGAGAAAGAGATCAGGTACACAAGAATAGCCTACACACACTTAAGAGTAATTTAAGCGCATAGTGTTACTTAAGGCAGGATGTATCAGTGTAACGCTTACTTTGGAGCCACTGAACATCCAGCCCATTTAAAAAAAAATAAGTGCTTGAAAGAATATTAGTAAAACTGCGGCGTGCATCTTATTGAAAATGTGCTTGTGACTGTGGACACGAAATACAGGAAAAGTGGACAGATTCTTCAAAGGCACAAGATGCAGTTAATCAGTCATCTCCTTTGCCGAGTCATCTGCTCTGGTATTTTAGTTACTTGCCCGATAAGTGAACTATTTGGTTGAGTGGGGGAAAGATGTTAGATGTTAGTGGGAGAGAGCAAATGCAGCTGAAGCAGGAGACTTGTGAAGGAGAAGATATGACTGGTTGGTAGAAGAAACCAGAGAAGGCTTTTAGTCTGGTTTAAGGTTTTGTAAAAGTCAGTTATGAAAGCACCCGTGCAGTTAGCAGTTTGTGTCCTATCAGGCTGATCGCTTTATCCCAGAGCAATAGTTTTGTGTGCACTCTTTGTTTGTTTTTGTGTTGGTTTTTTTTTTTTCTGTCTTGATGGTGAAGGAGCCAGTTGCAGGTCATATTCTGACCTACAATCTAAACAATAGAGAAGAAGCTATATATGTATGTCCGAAAACATATGCAGCACATGAAAAACCAAGTCACTCTGCCTGTGCTTAAAGATCTTTGGCTCCTCTTAAGCTTCTGCAAGGAGTGATACTAGGCTGATGTTGAAGTAGGCTGATGAAATGTGCCTCCTCACATGGAG